GGGGGGGGGGTAATGTACCTCATGACCTTTTTAGCTTCATGATATTACTGAAAATTAGCCTTGCTCTACCAGCATGCTGCTATAAATGGCAGAGGTCCCAAACTCCACATTTACACATATTTATCACATCTTCACTATTAATTCCTATTTTTGAGGTATTTATTAAGAATAATTTTTATAACATGTTAAAGATCTTTGCTGTTTCAGAATTGGCACTCCTGTATAACAAAAAAAAAAAAAAAAAAAATTGCATAACTCTGTGTCCACAAAATAGTCCTTTCTGTTTTGAAATAAGGAGGGAAATTGAAGAGTCACATGGCCCTAACATCTGTAACATGGCCTCATTACTCACTCACCTGAGGTGAGCATCTTCCCAGATACTTCAAAGATGTTCCCCCAGTGTGAACTGTCATGGCAGCCAAAAAGATCAAACAAGGGTTTCTTTAAATTGTTCTTGAATTTCCAGTTTTTTTAATCATAGCCTAACTTTGAGCATGGCAGTAGTGTTTCAAGGCATGGATGGCTGGCCACAACCAGGTCTTTAAACAGAACAGGGAATACTGTTAAGACTTATGGCGTGTTCACACTGAATTGATGGTACCAGGTAGTTGGAACCAACTTCACAGGACCTCTCACCGAATGCAATCAGATTAACTGTAAAGCACACCTCCTTTGTTTCCAATGTACTCGTACAATCGCCAGCTTTTCTGTATTCTACTCAATGCCAGGAGGAGGCGTGTTAATCTTTAATCTGATTGCATTCAGCAAGAGTCCATGCGGAGTTGGAACGATCTGCATGTACCTAGTACAATACTTTCATTGTGAAGACACTCTTACTTTGAAAATGCTAGATAAGTCATGTGAAAAGTTCACATTTTCTTTGAAGAGGTGAGCAGTAAAGGAAATATAGGATACTCTTGATTCATTTATGATGAATTACATATTTTTGGTGCTTACTCACAGATGGTCATATAAGACGGAAATTTGGTTATTTGAGTCAGGAGATTTTTGAAGGTATTATGGTATAGAAGAAAGGCCTATAAGTACAGTGGTCATTTGTAGTAGGGAACATACAAACAAGAAAAGCATTGTGTGGCATAACCAGTTCTCACAGTAAGGTAATGCAATTTATGATATATTTCACCAACCAATGAAAAAAAAGGAAAAATAAGGAATATATATATATATCTGGGTATATTTATGCTAACAAAATAATAATGCCTATTATAGTGTTTTCTGAAAGTGTATTGTTAAATTTTAAGAACAGCCACACAGGAATTAAGAATCTACGGGTACATGCTTTTTAGCAATACATCTATTGAAGACCTGTGACAAATATCAGTTTGTACATGTGGGTATGCTCGAGGAGACACACAGGGTCAGGATGGACAGACTTCTACCATGTTTGTGTCATGCCTTATTCTGGGTCTCCTCCTTTGATGGAACTCAGACCAGCAGGAGGGTCTTGCTTCCAGTGATCACAACATTGCAAGACTTGCGTCAAACAAGAAACTAGCTTGGATCTTGTGTCCTAGAAAAAACAGTTTTTGGGAAAGCCTGGTTGGTTTACATTTTTAGGCAATGAAGGTTTAGTTGAGGACAGGAAAGTAAGGTTTTTCCCTGGTGATAGTTCCTGAGTTGCTCCTGGAGTTGATTTGCTTTTGAATTCTTTTGTGCTTTGTCATAGGTTGTTTCCACTTTCAATAAGTGAAAAAAATTTATTCTTTTCTTAAAAATGCTGGAGTCATACAGAATAAATTGTCTTTTGTGTATGATAAAGTATTGGCTATTATAGCAGGTGTGATAAAAATAGCTTAGGTTGAAAAAGCCAAAGGCTTGATCATTATCTCCAACCATTTAGTCTTTATTTAAAGCAATGTGATTTAATTATTTCAAGAACCAATTTTCATTACCAAAACATCAAATGACATATCAAATATATACAAAAACTTCAGCACATGGAAATGAAGATAAAATCAACACTAATTAAAAGCTGACTTTTGAGTACTTTTTATCAGGGTGATTTTGGATATTTGTCAGAACTTTATAAGCAGTGGATTATGGAAAACAAGTATAAAAGTTTATTGTGCACTGTACATAGTGGCCGGGAACACAAGATTTATAGCCAGACTGGAGACAGATAGATTAGGGAGGTGTGATATTATCGCTGAACAGTCATATTTTTGACAGGATATTTTATGGGCTGTTGAGCAGTCATTGTATATAATTTGTGTTCCTTTTTCCTTGCAACACCTCCAGACATCCAGGTAAGCACTTTGTCATCTTTTTTTCAGATAAGAAATGGACTCTTTCATGAAAGCTACAACCGTCTCTTAGTACATATAACCTTATTATCTTCGTGCAGTTTTATCTTGATGAAGATGTTAGATATGTGATGATAGGATATCACCAGGCTAATTATTGGTGGCAAGTGTGTCTTTGGCCTACCATCAGGATAAAAACTCTCTCTCTCTCTCTCTCTCTCTCTCTCTCTCTCTCTCATGACTTGTTTTGAAGAGGCTACGGAGGAGAATATCACTCCAGCCTCAGTTACCTCAAATTCATACTCATATTCTATTAAGATCAATCTGAACAAGGCTTATTGTCCAGAAAGTTTGTGAAAAAGGATGTCTTCATCATCGTCAACATGCTGTCATGATCATAAGAATTATAACAGCACATGTAGCATATTAGGCACTTCTTAGCTTAAGCCTATGGTTTTTGCCAACTTGGCAATACTGCCAGAGTAGAGATTGCAATAATAATGAATCACTTCTTGCAGCCATTTTGGTTATGGCTGCAATTTTGGATATTAAAAAAATTATGTAAGTATAAAACCAGTGGATGATACTGCAAATTCTCAGCAATCTTTTGAGGAAAATGATCAATGTTACTGGTTTTCAATATCAGTATTGATTTTTTTAACAATCACAGGAATTCTCAGACGTGACTGAAATTGTCATGCTTATGTAATCCCAGTTGGCCAAGGTAATCTCTGATACCTGTCTGGAATAACATCACACCCATGCTTAATCTAGCATTGATGCGTCTCATGTCTTACTGTAAAATGGTGTCTACATGACAGGAGCATATTAGTATGTTTACCTGTAATCAGGGGTGAACAGGTGAGAGTGAGACCAGTGTTTATTACGGCTTGCGGCAGTGCGTGCCAGTGTGTATGAAGAATCCAGCATAAATATGAACAGACGGCTTTTCGTGCTCACATGATAGAACTGGCTCAAACCCTTGTTGCAGACAGACAGATAGGGGTAATGGTGCATATGTTTTTGGTGCAGATACAGAGGTAAAGATAGAGATATATAAGCATGAGATATATATACTATTAATATTACCACCTGTTTTATTGAATGTATAGATGAAAAGGTACACACAGACAGAGATGCACATGCTGCATTTTGGCACTGATGCAAAGGCAATTGTAAGTTGGCAAACTAGCAAATATATGCAATGCACAGTCCATATTGATGTCCGTGCCATCAAGGCAGACTGGTTTTATATTCAGATTAGATGTCCTGCTCGCTTATCTGAAGTAGTGTTGCCAACTCCACATAGTTACACGTATTCTAGACATTTTTCAGTGACAATTCCCATTGTTTTGGGCGCTTAAATCTGTAGAAGATAAAAGTTAAGACATGAGATTTGGGTAATTTTAAAAGTGCTGCATTTTTCAGTTTGAAGGCAAAAGTAAGGTTTAATTTTTTTTTTTTTTTTTTTTTTTTTTTTTTGGGGGGGGGGCGATATTTGTTTTTGTTCTGACAATTTAGCAACTTTGAACAGTACAGGTGTTTACATATGCCTATGTGTTGAAACATGTAGGTAATGCTGTGCATGTTCTTCCATGCCTGGGCATATAGTACTTGTATATAGGGAAATTCATGATATCGTGCTTCCTTTAAATTCATTTAAAAATCCCAGGTATTCTGTAACACGTATCCATTTTTCATTGCAGGTATTGAAGATCAGAGTTTTCAGCCACTTATTGAAAAGAAATACTGCATAGAGAACAGACTCTTAAAGAGCATTTGCTTCTAGAAAAATTCATTTTAAACAAATCAGAGATTTGAAGAAAAATAAAGGAAGGGCCGTTGTACTTGAACTGGATTCCTACAATTATATTGCAAGGAATTTGAGTCTATTTGCTCAGAGGGATAACAGCAGCCTGTTACCTTGAATTTTAGACAAGGGTGAGTATACAGAAGAAATATCTGCTTAGTCTGTTTAACCTGGGTGAGGTGAGGTAAAAGAAAAAATGAACATGTTGTGCTTATGTTCTTTGTTTTCCTCATTTTGATGAGGAGTCTGATCTGATCCTGATGAAAACCCTGTCTTAATTATTTGGTCTTTTTGTCTGTTGTATTAATTCTAAACTAATATCTGTCTTATATGCTTTACACATACTAGTTGTGTGTGTGTGTGTGTGTGTGTGTGTGTGAAAACAAGTCTGTAATAGCATCATGAAACAGGTATGTTTACATATATTATATCAGGAAACATTCCTTAACTGTGTGAAGTCAGAGAGCCTCATTTTGTATTATATATAGTACAATGTATATCTATTTTGAGTTACCGTTTGTATAGACTATATAGGCGCTTTCTTGTTTGCGAACATCTGAAGAACTTGTAGATTTCAAGCTGCTTCATCCATTTCATTATTCATTTAACTGTGTGTACATATCTCTTTGTTTGTGCAGACAGTAACATTTCATATTTATAAATATCATGGTATGTAGACAGAAATGCAGAAAATGAATGATAATTTTCATTGACATTGTCCTGGTATTATCTATATTACTATGAAGTATTATCCATAAAGTATTTATAACAGTGTGTTGCATAAAAGAGCAAGCATTTTTTTCACTTTAAATATTTTATAGGGTGTAGGTACTATAGAACACAGAGTTCAGAGGTGTAGAGGCTATGCCATATATTAATGTTGCTGCTTGCAGTTTTTTTATTGCAGCTGATTATATAGGGAAAAATAATATGTAGTCCATCTGTATCAGTTATACTATAGAATTCATATCATTAATTTTATCATAAATCATAATGGATGCTTATAAATATCTGAAATGAATTTAGTTTTAAAAATTGCCATACAACAGATAAATTGCCATACTTCACTGATTACTGGAGATGTGGTGGTAAAATATTTATCATACAATGGGAAAAACAGTAATAGTGAAATATTAAAAAAGAACAGAAATGGAGAGGATTTGCCCAACTTCTCACCAGGTCTTTTATTTGCTCATATAACTCAGAAGACACTTATGTAAATATGTTCTCATTAAACAAACTGAATATGGTAGCAGTAATGTAACTAGGTTATAAAACCATATCATACCCATTGCTGGAGGAGGACATGTTGTATCAGAGCATGCAGTGAACACTGTGTTGGAATGGCTGCCAAACTCCTGCTTTCATGAAGATCACATAGAAAACTGCTGCTGTTTTTACTTTTTACATTTATTCAGAATAAACACCAAACATAAACGCAAACACACGAGTGATGTTAAATAATGCTTAAAAAAAGAAAAAAAAAAAAACAAGAGAAAAGGGGTTTCTGCACTAGCTCAGATGCAGCTTTGCAAGGTTATTCTTCTCCTTTCTTCTTCTTCCTCTTCTTATTTCTTCTTCTTATTATTATTGTTATGCCAGGAATTAACTTGGGTACTTTAAATTACCTAACCTGAAAATGCCATTCATTATCTAGTAAGTATGCAACTGCACACCACTTCTGCATTTATATCATCTCTTATTTATTACTACATTGTGAAAGCATGAAAAAATGATTGAAGACCCCTTTTGTTTTCACTGCTTACGTGCTAGCTTCATTTTGAAGGACAAATAGTGACTTTGTTATCTTTACGTAAAGAGAGAGCAATAATGGCATCATTTGTCTTGTCTCTGTGAATGTAAACAACATCTGTGAAGCCTAGACCTTTTTCACCTCAATTAATTACTTATATGCAAGTATTTTTATGCTTATTTATTACAGCAAAAAGTAACGTGTCTACGTGTGTACAATTACTCTCTTTATTCTTCAGAGGTAGTAGTTTCACTTGCCTTCTCTGTACTGTCTTGAACTGTGCACGTTTTTTGTTCATGTTTATGATGGATAAAAGCAATAATTTTCTAACATTTTCTCATAGTTGCTAAACCTTTGATGATTTTTTTTGCTTTCAGCTAAGTAATCATAAAATCACATTTGTGAGTTATTTGCTTTGAACAATCAAAATAATGTTTTTTTTATGCACAAATGTGCAATAAAATCAACAGATAATATTTCTTGGAAGTTGAATGCCCCTGCAGTATAAAACCATAGTCATTTAATATTTTAGAGCTGTGCTATATGAGTACAACTTATGCTAATATTTCTGCTATAAAAAGCATACACTTAATTTTAACTTTAGAGTGTTGGAGTTAATGCAGTGATTACCAGTCAGAGATGGGGAGAGTGAAGAGAGAAGTACATGGGTCACATGTGGTTGTAAAAATGCCAGATTTACTTTTGACATTTATAGGTAGAATGGTATTGCAGCAATGCCTTATATACACTACAATATTCACATATTGTTGAAACACTCAGTTAGATATCAAACTCAATGTGGAGCGTGATCCTGACCACTGTAAGTACTGGCTACCCAGTTACTTCTTTTGCCTCATGGAATTCTATAGTTGAAAAACACTGCAATTACTCCACAGACTAAACTGTAATCATAAAACAGAGCAAAAAGTATTTTCTGACTTGTCTTAATCAAATTATAAAACAGTTCTGCTGCTAATAGCTATCCCTTTACCTTGGAAACACCTGCATGGTGCTGTAGTGGCCATTATATTTCTACCTGGAATATTAATCTTAGATGTCAGAACCTGGAATTTTGGCAGATTACTAGAAAGTTCTCATTACTCCGAGTCGCCTTGAAGAGTCTGGGCAATAAATATAGTGCTACTGGTGTTGGTAAAGATGGTTCTGAATGCCTCAATGTTTTGGTGAGTGGATTTTAGGGTACACCATTGGTCTATATGGATCCACCTAACTCTGCAGGGGACTCTTGCTGACTGCAGTAAGATTAATTGAAAGACATGCTTGCATTAAGTAGAATACATAAAAGCTGGCAATATGAGTATGTTGGAAGCAAGAGGAGGCATGTCATTCACTTAAGATAATTACACTTGGCAAAAGTCCCAGCAGAGTTGGATCAATCTACATAGATCGACAGCGTTTATGGGAATGTGGTCTGTGTTATTGACAGGGAACTGATTACTGTTATTACTTGATTGTTAAATTCATGCATGTTTGCATATTTCCAAAGCAGCCCTGATAGCAATAGTCCTGATAAAGATTAATACTTTTCCCTGTTAACTTAAGATGTTCACATTGATTAACGATGATTGTCAAATGTAGCATAACTAATGCTGGGAATAAACAAATGTGGAACAGTTGTTAGGGAAAAAGTTAATACATGGCATACATGAAGTTTAGAATGATCAGCAGCCATTTTGAGCTGTGAAGGAGCTAGCTGTCAGATATCTTTATATTGAGTTATGTTTGTATGTAAATTAGTTAAAATATCTCAGAAACATTTTTTTAAAGGGACATATCGCTTTTTTATAATATTATCTATTTATCATCCTTACCACTTCTCAAGGATAGATCTGCCTGGCTGACTATTATCAAAAGCCACTTCAGAATTATTTTGCGCCTAGCAAAAAGATTCTAACCGTCTGCTGGAAACCTGTCTAGATCCATCCTTCAAGCAACTTAGGAGTCATTCAGAATAGATGATCTGAGTACTAACTGATCCACCGACTAAATATGGCCTGCCACACTTCAGAAGCGATGCCGCTGATTCCTGATGGTTTTCCCGCCTCCACATGTGTCATTAAACCGATTTAATCTCGGGTCCGAGGTATAATTGCTATAGGCCCCTGCAGCGACGACACGTATAGAGACAGGGAGGCCATCATGGAATTAGCAGCATCGCTTTTGAAGTGTGGTTGGCCATATTTAATCAGGGGTCAGTTAGTACTTGGATCATCTATTCTTAATGGCCCCTTAAATATTCTAGTTTCTCCTAAGATGCTGTAACAATTGTATATCTTAAAACAAGTGAAGATTGACCTGTCTGAAAAGGCATTTTACTCTTTTTTTTTATCAGAAAGTCATCCGATGTCAGATGAACCTCAGTCGGCCATTACTGCAGGATGTCACTCTCTGATTGCCCTGTCCCTGTTATGTGTATCTTAGGTGAAATCTGATAAACAGCCAAAGCAGCTGTAATAGCTTTTTATGAGAACAGATAACATCACTGATAGATGGAAAGGCTTACTTCCTTTTCCTATAATACAAGAGTAATAGGACAGAAAGATAAATATTTGTTTTAACCTCATTCATAAAAAGGATGGCATTGCTCTGGCTGTATTCAGAACAGCAGACTAACAAGTCCGTGGGTCCAATATGGCCGACCCACTTGAATACGTCCCCACGGGGAATCTATTCAGTGTCTGTTAGCGGATTAGACGGCAAGCTTTTTAGTCGGTCACCATATTTGGCCCGCAGACTAGGTAGTCCAATTTCTGAATGCACCCTGTGTTTGTTCACCAGTGTGTTCCTGAGGGTGAAGAAATTGTGAATTGATGGTGGAAATGTGATTTTCATCCATTGAAAAAAGAGGTCTTTAGCTATACAGGTGCTGTTGTGCATCAGTTTCTGACATCTTCAAAAAACTTTCCTGAAAAAGGAAAGTTGGCGTTGCATTTATTCAAAGCATTGCATCCCCTCCCACTTTGTACATCATAATTTTGTGTAATTTTGGTTGCCTAAATTTTTTGCCATTTCTCATTACAGTTTTCATTACATTCAAATAATATTCAGTTTGGAAACGATTCATATTATACATCTGAACATAATTTTTATTTAGGTGTATGCTTTTGACTGACAACATATATATATATATATATATATAAATCAGTGTCAGTAGAATGGATTGATGGTACTGTCCATTCATGTACATGAAGACTTATTTGCAGACCTAAAAAAGGCAAGAAGGGTTCCATCCTAAATATTTTCCTCTTTTGCCTGTAGATATGTTGCCTGAATTAAATCAACATAATTTTATTCCTTGTGCCCCCCCCCCCCCCCTTCCCCGGAACATAATACAATGCTATGTAAGATATTATGCAT